TATATTCTTTCTAAATCTGTCAAGAATATACCATAATTTTGTCAAATGACATACGTTTTAAAGACTTTGAAGAATGTTCATGTTGAACTTCTAGAAGTATTACATACATTCCCACCAAATATGTAAGAGGGATTTATTCTCCCAACAATTTCAGCAGCTTTTACTACTTTTTATAGTCTTGGTAATAACCATTTTGACAGTGATGAGATGGAATCTCAATATAGTTTTGATTTTCATTTGTCTAATAGTTAAATATATGGTAGAATACAAAATCAATACACAAAATCAATACCATTCCTATATAACAATAAGGTACCTTCTGAGAAGGAAACATGAAAGTAATTCCATTCATTCTTCCTCTCTCTCTCTCTCTCTCTCTCTCTCTCTCTCTCTCTCTCTCTCTCTCTCTCTCTCTCTCTCTCCCCCTCTCTGTCTCTCTGTCTCTCAGTTTCTCTCTCTCTCTCTCTCTCTCTCTCTCTCTCTCTCTCTCTCTCTCTTTCAAAAATTTACACTGGATAAAAGACAGCCTCTTCCAACAGATGGTGCTGAGTAAAACTAGATATCTACATGCAGAAGGACAAATCTACAGCCATATATCTCACCCTACACCAAAAATCATTTCAAAATGGATTAAGAGCTACAGATAAAACCAGAGTATTTGAAACTAATAGACACTACATGGATGATATTACTGAGAAAACACGTGAACCCACAATTACAGGCAAAACCTCTCCCAGTAGTATAAGAGAAAATATCAAGAATAAATAAAATGAGACCACATCAAAGTAAAACATTTCTACAGAACAAAGGAAACAACAGAGTAAAGAGAAAACAAAATTACATATATTATATGTATACTAATTACATATATAAAATTACATATAATTAAATATATTAAATATTAAATTATAAATTTAATAATAAATTAAATTAAATATATATATATTTCAGAAAACCACAAAAATTAGTCCAATAAATAATGAACAAGTCTTAAATTCTTCCTTTAATTTCTCCATAGGACTTCATCTTCATTGCTAAGCTTCTGGAAGGAGATCTTGGTATGTTGGTGTTTCTGCAACTACTGCTCCTGTGCCTTCCTTTGGCTTGTTTCGCAGGCTGCTGTTCCCAGACATGAGCGTGACTGGACCATTCAGGTACCATAAATGTGGCCCTGTAACGGTGGCTATTACAGAAATTTCTGTAGAGATTGGAAGCTTCAGTTTAACAACATCTTGAATTGACAATAAAGGAACTATTTCATAGAGGAATTGGGGAGGAATGGAAAAATGGAGTGGGGTAAATAAGGGAACACAATGTGAAACAACTGAACCTATACACAACTAAAGCATTCCATAGATAATACAGAAATACATGTTCTTTGCAAATGTAAAAACAGAATATTCTCCAGTATAGACTGTCCCTACCTGGGCCATGGGTAAATCTTAATACATAGGGAATCATGGAAATCATACAGAATATGTTCTTTAAATATAGTGCATTAAAAATAGGATTTTGAATTTTTTTCAAAAGCCCATCTTTAGTAAGCAACTATAGCAACACAGAATCACAGAAAACATTTTATTTTTTAATTTATTTATTTATTTATTCATTTGCAGAACCAGGGACTGAACTCAGGCCCTTGTGCTTGCCAGGGAAGCACTTATTCCACTGAGCCATCTCCCCGGCCCCTATAGAAAACATTTTAAATAACAGAGAAAAATGAACAGAGAATATGTTTCAAACTTCTGGACTCTAGTTTTAAGAATATTAAATAAATATGCACCCTGTTTTTGAAATAGAAAAATATCCAGCAAATAACCTAAATTTCCAGCTCCCCCCCCAAAAAAAAAACAGAAACAGGAAAAAGTTAAGTAAGCAGAATGATAGAAACAAAAACTGGCATGACATACATGAAATATGAAATAACAACACAATAGCAAGTACCATGGCATAAAAGTTGGCTTCATGAAATAAATCAAGCAAACTTAAAAGCATTTACCAGGATTTTCCAGGGGAAAAATATAGATGCATCAAAGTTCAATAAACAAAGATGAAAAGGGAGCATTACATATTATTTTGTGGAAAAAAATTCAAAAGAAAATATAATAAATACATTTATAAAAAACTTAGAACAGTTAAACAAAATGGACAAATGGTTATTATGATACCAAGACTAAATGAAACAGAAAATATAGTACATTTATGACCACTAAAGCTATTAGTAATAAGAAAGCAAAAACTTACCAGTTAGCTAGCCTTACTTTGCTTTACCATGAACTTGAAATGTTTAAGAAAGACCATTAACATTTTACATCTTCTCACAAAGTAAAATGAGGAGGGGACATTTTTCTCTTCTTTTATGAGGCCAGCATATCCTTAAGAAGAAGCCAGATCATGTAACAAGATACCAAAATATAAAAGGAAGCATATTTATGATATGATAAATGCTTGATAGGTAACTTTTTAAATAAAAATCTTACCAACACCAATTGTACTTCTGAGCATTTACTTCTACTGCAATCATTTGATAATATAAATGTTTATTCTTTGCTGTAGTATTTAATAAATGGTCTTTAACTTGAATTACAGTAAAAGGTAATATTTTAAAACTAACTTTGAAGAAATAAAAAGTCAAATCAATATGCTACTGTTGCTCAGTGATTCCCTCCATTTTCTTTTTCTTTTTATGTTTTTGTTTTGTAGGGATGGGTCTACGGGTGTTCAGGGTTTCACTACTAGATTGGACTCATAGTGATCTACCTGTTTACAGCCTTCCAAGAGTTGGGATTATAGGCATGTGCCACAACATCCAGTGTTAGTTTCTGTCTCAGCACACCCCAGGGGTTGGGCCAGGACAGTAGGCCCAGGGATTGAACCCCAGGCCCCTGCGCCTGCTTCAAGGCACTTTAATCCACTGAGCTATTTCATTTTCAATATCTATGTTGCCATACAATTTATTTCTGAATATATACAAAAGCTTTACTTCCTGAAACTTTGTAGTATTCTACTTAAAACCTAAAGAGACAAAATATAACAGTATATGTCCAAATGTGGTGATGAACACCCACAATTCTCTCAGCACTTGAGAGACTAAGGTAGGAGGATCACTTCCAGATTGAGGCCAGACTGGATCACATAGTGAGTTCAAGCCAGCCATACTATAAAACAATACACAATCTAATAATAATAATAATAATAATGATAAATAATTAATGAGAAATCATTAGGTGTACTATCAACACTCCCTCACACAAACATAGGTTGCATCCTGGCTTTACTTCTCAGTGTTTTTGTGCATGTATTTGTTTATCTAATCATGTTCATCCCAGGACCCAAGGACTGTGGGTGTCTGTATAGTATTTTGTTTTGAGAATTAACATGAACATATATAATAACTACCAAAGACCTTGGACTTGAGTAATAAGAAGTACATGAATAAAACTGTTTTTTTATTCATCAAAAACTCCAATTTACAGAATTATACTGCAAACCCCTTCTAGCATCTACTTAACAATCAAATCCTATCCTTACCTCATAAAATTCTGGTTCATTTAGTAAAGGAAGAAAATAACAGAAATTTGTATTTTGACCTGAATGTGTACCTGATACCATTTTTATGAATTGGACAACTTAATTGTCTTTTGTTCAAGACTTGAAAAAGATCATCCTCAGATAATGAGTAAAGTTTTATTTCTAAATACTCTTCTATTGTGCAACAAATGTTTTTGTTCTTTGCTGCAAAGCAAAACCAGTGACTTGCTCAAGTGCTTTCTCTTTGAACTGTAACACAAGCCATGAGTTACTCTTCACAAACTATGTAGTGCATTCATATAAGTCATTTCATCCAAGCTGAAGTTGTTGAAAGCAGCAGTTCTTATATTCAGTACAATGATTTTTTTTTTTTACCTAGCAATGCACTGTTAACAAAATGATTCTCTGACTATGTGAACTGTGAACAAACTAGCCATTGATCTTTTTAATTACCAGTATTTATAAGACACTATGCAGGCTATTTAGGTATGACACTACCTATGCAATATTTATGAAATACAATTATATTTTTAATAATACCATTTCTAGAAAATGTTCTACTAAAGTTTATTCTATTCAAATTAAACAAATGAAGTAGTAAGTGTTTAAACTAATAAAATCAGGACCAGGGAAGTAGCTCAGCAGCATAATCACTGAGCTGAGTCCTGAACTTGATCCCCAGTACCAAAATGATAATAATAAGAGTTATAATAATAATATTAAAAGTATTTGTCCAAAAGTAATTGGCTAACACAGAACCACATATTGATATAAGGTGGCAATAGGAAAAGAGATTTTATCTGCTTAATTTTATCATAGGAATCTCACCAAAAGAGCACAATTCTTACAAGCAATCTCAAGATTATTATGAAAATTCAATTTTTTTAAAGATTCTGTTAGCACTATAATAAAAAAAATTTCAATTTATTCCATTTAACTGTGTCAAAGAACTGGAGGATATTAGATTCAAGACTTTAGTAAGACTTTATGATGTTAATAAATAAATAAATAAAGGGCCAGGGAGATGGCTTAGTGGAATAAGCGCTTCACTGCCAAGCATAAAGGCCTGAGTTCAATCCCCGTTTCCACACACACACACACACACACACACACACACACACACGCACACACACACACACACACAAAGACTTTACGATGTTATTATTTTCCAAAATACTGTGTGCCAAATTAAGTCTTGGAAGAAAATGGACATAGCAATTGCTTGTATAATTATTGACTTGACAGTGGGCGTGATGCTTACTGCATATCACTATGACTAGAGTTATTCGTTCAGCTGGTCCTGGCACAAGGAAGGATCAAGTGATTGAGCGGCTGTCTCAGTGCTCTGTCTCAAGTCCTGGTTCTCAGCAGTTTTATGCCAATCTTTGCTTCTAAAGTTAGGCATGAGGAAATCCTTATCCATGCATCTGTTTCAAAATTAGGTGAAATGACATACATGACTACAAAATGAAAAGTACAGATTCTTTAATGCTCTTCCATTATAATAACATATTTGTATAAACGATCAAATTATCTGAAACTAAAGACCAAAAATGCCTGGATGCCTGCAACAAACAAATTACATGAGTTTTTGTTCAAATAACTCAATCTATGAATATAAAGTATAACTTTTTGAGACAATATTCTTCTGAAGTAAAAAATACACTTTGTGAGAATATAAGGAAAACAAATATGAAATCTTGTTATCTAATGCACACAGCAGTGTGAGGGCTACATTGCACCACTGAAGTTAAAACTGCTATATTACATTATGACATAATGTGCACAAAATTCATTTAGTGTGCTTTTTTACATTTGATTGTTTTATTAACTTTACTGTGGAATAAACTACCACTAAGACCAGAATTTTTAAGCAATTTATTTTGTTTGAGATAATCTAGATTGGTAATGTGGGTTAGCTTAGGAGGAGATTTTTCCTACTCAGCTGACTCCCCATGCATCTGTCCTCAACTATCAATGAGTTGGAGAAGAGATACAGGACATTGGCTCTGAGTCTCAGTTATGCAGACTCCTCTGTGTTCTGCAGAGCCCTTTGTCAGCCCAAGACTAGCTTCTCTGTATGGTATCATCGTTGCCAAGATAAACAATAACTCACCACTTCAAGGCTAGTGCTCTAACATGATCTTGCATTGTAGCCTAAAGCAATTGTAAGTCACTAAGCATATGGCTCTAGATCGCCAACCTGAAGTTTAACTTATACTCCCCTAAACAATAAATAAAAAAGTGTAGAAATAAGACACACAGGTAATAGAAAGTAGCATAAACTATTAAAAAAATATAGGCTGTGCGTAATGATTGCTATTTTGGTTAAGTAGATGAGCAATACATAATTTTCTCACATAACTTGGAGAAGTTGAAATACTTCTCCAAAATACTATACTTCAAAATACTTCTACAAAATACTATGGAAGTATTTTGTTACTTTTTGTATCTAAAAGATAAGTTCATACATTTTTATTGTCTTTCAGTATTGTTTTTCTGTTACAGGACTTTGCAATTTCAGTATCCTATAAATTTTAGAATTATTCATTTTATATCTTGAAAGAAATAGAGTTGAGTATGTAGGTAAAAGAGAGAAGGAGG